AAGATTTTTCCACCTCGGGGTTCTTTCATCAAGCTTTCTCCACCTCAGGATTTCTCCACTGAGCTTTTTCCATATCAGAATCTTTCCATCTCGAGATTTTTCCACCCCATGATTTTTCCACGGTAGAATTTTTCCATTTCCCGGTCGCTTTTATTAATTTCCCAATTTTTATCAAGCCTCCTCCTACCCAAGGCCGCGGAGAGTAAATTAATCTATATATGCGCGACGCAGGCAGTGAGTATTTAATTTGTCGATACGATATACGCAGAGAAGCGACAACCAGGGAGTCGAAACCGAGTGGTAGCGGTAGTTAGTTATTATTATCGCCGAACACCGGAAATTCTGATAACGGCGTGTCCCTCTACATCCTCTGTCGCGTGTAGCTGCGTTTCCTGCATCCTTCCTCCTCAACAGAGAGCTGCAAGCTTTTCGTGGCTTCGACTCGTGGGAGTCACAGACTGTAAATCATGCCAATCGCTTTCCAAATTATTATTAGATTATTATTAGATCAGGTTTCTTTACTTCGAGAAACTCGTGTCAACTTTAAATACAATGCACGTCTTACGATCTGTGGCGTTCGAAATGCTAGGAAATTCAGCCCGGAAGCGTCGGAGAAGCACGAAAAATTTTACTACGTTAATTAGCTTCCCCTCTTTCCGTCGATGCTTTCGACATTCGCCCCGAAGTGTTTACCTCCGTTCCAATAGCGTTTACACAGCGTCGACGCTTTCGAGTTAAGTGGAGACACGTGGCCAAGCCAAGCTAACACCAGGGTATCATTAATAACTCGTTCCCAACGCGAGTGATTGACATGAAAAAAATTCATGGAATTACCTCCCCCCGTCATCACGCACGCATATTAATTAACCTCAAAAATTTCAGCATACTTTATCTCCGAAACACTTTTCTTTACAGCGCATTATTAATAATATTTCCGTTATTAAAGCAGCTTCCAACTCCCTCCAAAAAAAAAAAAAAAAAAAAAACAACTTATATCTTGCTTTCAGTAATTACGACAAGCGCCACATAAAATGAACAGTTTGTTACGTTGCGCACTTTTCTTCTAAAAAAATAGAGAAATTTGAATATCGTTAATTTTGACCCGAGACACGGGAAAACCTCCCTTAATGGCGGACGAACGTTCGAAGCAGGAACGAAGCCGCGCGTTTTAAGCCCTCCCTCCCCCCTTCGGCCGCGAAAGACATCGGCCGACCACCTGTTTGAACATGTACGAAACGCTTAGTGCACAACATCGAGGCGGAATACTTTACGGAGGGCCGCGAGTGCGTGAACTGCGGCGCAATTTCCACCCCGTTATGGCGACGGGACGGTACCGGCCATTACCTGTGCAACGCATGCGGTCTCTACCACAAGATGAACGGAATGAATCGACCCCTGGTCAAGCAGCCACGTCGACTGGTAAGAACGCAAGCTAGCGACGAGGATTATTCTCGCAGAGTTGGGCATCGGTCGAGCGAAAATTGGTCTTAATCCATAGACGATTAACCGTGGAACTTCGGTTCGGTTGTTTTATTTTTATTTCGTGATATCTGTGCAACCCTTTGCGGGCCAGATTCGTCGATTTACGTTCGTTACTGTTAGCGAGGCTCGACCGTAGGATCGCAGAGGGTTACATTTACATTGAAATTTACATTTTCAATTGCTTACAGTAACGCGCTTCGTTCTGTAATTCAAAAGAGTAACGAGTAGAAGAGTTATTACTAGAACTACCGACGGTCAGCGTGTTCATTAGCATGTGTAACGTATGTACATATATAGCATCGTAATTAACAGGTGAAGAGGCAAATTAGAAATCACTCTTGCATTTTGATGATTATATAGAACAGTAAAAGTCGCCGGATCCTGTCTAAGAGGCGCAGAGTTGTCTCGGAGGTGCCTCTAGACGTCGACGACGAGATCGTTGGTTCTCTTCCTTTCCTCGATGCTGCCTCTTCCGCGCGTCTCTTAGACAGGGAACCCCTCTCGCTCGGGAATCCCGAGTCTGATCTAAAAGTTATTTAGTCTTTTAGAGTCGGGAAAGATTAACACTAGATTAATAATTTTACGAGTCGGGATGCATTTCTGAGATCGCTCGGTGGTTCTAGGCGTCTTACTCGATACTTCCATCTAGACGAGACTGTTTTGCCCATCTCTGCTCGTCGCTGTCGAAGGGTCGCGAAAGCTCCGACCGAGGAGGCCAAGCTCCCGTACTTAGAAAACAGGAGCCTGTGTGGAAATTCGCCCGTCGTCCCCGTCGCACATTTTGCCCCAGTTCGCGTCTTTGGTCGCGTTCCTCGGTGATCGACGGTTACTCTCGTTCTATTTCGGCGTCGCTCTCTATCTCTTTTTCTCTCTCCTTGACCTAGCCGGCGAATCTTTTCGTGAAAGAAAGGATCGAGAAAAGAAAAAAGAAAAGTTAACTCCACACTTTGAGATATCGTGCGCGCCTAGAAAGAAAAGCACCCCTAACGTTTGGCATCCTGTCTCTGTTTCAGTGGCGGACCAGGGCGATTTCTACAAAGGCTTCTGTGGGTATAGTGGCACCCGTCGCGCCTTCGAGGAGAAATCGAGCCGCCGTTTGGTAGGTGTTATCCCCCCACACTCTCTCTCTGTATCTGTTTCACTTTCTCTCCACCCACCAAGCCCCTCTCTCTCTCTCTCTCTCTCTCTCTCTCTCTTTCTCTCACTTTCTCTATCTCTCTTTCGACTCATTGGTTCCGATCGTACGCTCTCTCGATCTCCGTTCAATCAACGACACAATCACCTTTCGCATCTTTCACATCTTTTCAACACCCTTCGATCCTCCGCACCTCACGTCCCTGGAAAACTCGAAGATAGCGAACGACCTTTGTTTCTTCGCGCCCGTTTAGTTCTCGTTCCGTAGCGGCAAAGCTTCTGGTTGAAAATTTCTCGTTGCTTCGAGGTGCCACTATACCCATGGTACGATCGCGCTCTCCTTAACGAAATCATGCGTGGCCTAGCACCAGAGATGGGCGACGATCTTGTACTCGAATAGATACGGTTCAAACGATAACGATGATTAACCCTTTATTTACCGACGGGACTTACAAGCGAAACCTATTTGTGACTTTCTAGTTTTAATTGTTGAATAGCAGCACAAGCTTTATATAAGACCAAGATGGACGGCCTAGATTTTAAGAACTTTCGAGAAATTCAGTAAATAAAGGGTTAAAGTAAATAAGGGTTGCGATAGATCGGATCAGTGACGAGGAAATCAGATCCAGGAGGCCGAAAAGTCCAATAGAATATTTCTTTGCTCCTGATTCTGTATGTATTTATTTAAACAAACATTGAGTCAATTTTTTAAAAATTTTATATACATTCTCTTTGCTAGTTATAATTTCTATTCGACGCTTTCTGCCCGTCTCGAGACACTTTTCTTTGGTGTACAGGCTCGCGTGTGGTTTCGCGCGGAGTATAGTGATGGTGCGTCGAGAGATTGCACTTGGATGAATTTAACTCGAAATGCAAACTTTCGATGCACCACTACTACGACGTGCAAATGAGAAGACGAGACTCGAGGAGAGCGACCGCTGTTTGAATCGTGCCTATACCATCAGTTCTCCCCGAGTCTGATCTTCTGGTTCGCAAACAGTAGCTGAATCCTAGGTTAATGTAGACGTAAGCTCTCCTTTCTCCTCGTCTTCCTCCCGTGGGAACCCTATCCTACTTTTGAATACACCCTTCGTCCTACTGCAGGGAGCTGCGACGAATGCACCCTGATTCCAGACACCTTACAAAGCTATGTTAGAGGAGATAGAGAAAAGATTCATTTAACTATTTTGTGGAAAATTTACTTCTCTTCAAGATTTGTATCAAACGTTTCTTTAAATACTTGCAAATAACAAACGTGCATTGGAAAAACTGAAAAGGGTGACAAGAAATTCCACACAGTAGAGGTGTGACTACTGCCAGACAGATTAAACTAGGTAACTAGCAAAGATACAAACAAGATTCATTTAACTTTTTTGTGGAAAATTTACTTGTCTTCAAGATTTATTCCCAACACTTTTGTCTATCTAGTAAGGTTCCTCAGAAATTGTAGTTCAAAGATGTTCCCTCCAGCTCTCCAACCTGCCCCTACCTTTCTCCTTTACGACTGCTTTCCTTTCTGCAGTGGTTTCTTCTATTCTTCTCTCGACTAACATACGCATGAGTGCGTACTTTAAAAACGTCTTCGTATTTCCACAGTCTGCTTCGAGGAGAGTTGGCACCTCGTGCAGTAATTGCGAGACGACGATGACATCGTTGTGGCGTCGCAACGCCATGGGCGAGCCGGTCTGCAACGCCTGCGGGCTTTACTATAAATTGCACGGCGTGACCAGGCCTCACACCATGAAGAAGGACAGCATTCAGACGCGAAAGAGGAAACCAAAAGGTGGCATGAAGACCTCCGACACCCCAATTCCCAATGCCGCTACTTACAACGTGAATAACAATAACAATAATACCAACAACAACAACAACATCACCTTGAAATTGGAACCAGGTAACCACAAAGTCCACGGATCATCGAAATTCACGTCGATTTTCATTCCCACTGACGATGTCTTATTATTTTATGTAGCAGATCCATTCGACGTGAGAAGGGACGAAGGTTACGTGGAAGGGACTTTCAGCAACACCCTCTACGGGAGCCCCCAGCCCTCCAATCGGATAGTCTCCTACACGCCGACGACCCCTGGAATATACTACGAAATGATCGCTTCCCAGCAGCAGCAACAGCAGCAACAACAGCAGCAGCACCACCAGCACCAGCAACTTCTCGAGACCCATTCCCCAAAGGTAGAGTGTCCGTCGCCACCGTGCGCGAACAGATCGCCAGTGATGATCTCAGCGGATCATTCACCGGACCATCAGCTGACCACGCCCCACATCGTCACCCTGGGCAACTCCTCGCCGAGCTCAGGCGCCGCCAAGATCATTCTCGACAACGGTCACCTGGAGAGACCCACCGTCGTCTCGATATCCTCTTAAACCTTCCATCGGAGAACTAAGTGCCTCTAGGGGCGTCTCGACGAGGACAGGACGACACCGTGCCTCCTTTTGTCATTGTTTTCTAGGCAGGAAAAACTCACGAACCAAAGAAACAACACGGACGAGAAGCGGCGAAGATGCAACGTGTCGAGGACGAGTTAGTTGATCTTTTTGCTCGATTTTATAAATGACGTGTCCCTGATTCTAGCCTTTCCTTCATCACCTCGTTCGCGCTGCGCTTTCGTCCTCCAGGCTGAAATTCGACGTCTCCGTTCACCCTGGAGGAGCTGGATGGATCGGCAATCGTATGTGTGTGTGTGTGTGTGTGTGTGTGAGGCTTTCACGAATGGGTTCCTCGTGGTTGATGGTAGACGAGGTTTTCTGGTGTGAGCTTGACTCTTGGATTAAGATCTTAAGATCTCTGACGTTCCGCTAGGGTTGCAGGTAGCTTCTTCAAGGGTCGAACGATGGCGAAGACGCCTAGAAAATCTGTAAACCCCTGAAGAAGCTAGCTAGAATGTTGACGAAACGTCGGGTGTTAGTATGTGAGAATTAGT